CCCCAAAACCCCAAAACCCCAAAACCCCGTATATAGATTCATTTAACAATCTTAGATTTATAAATTATTAATATAACAAGGCTAATATTCAATAAATATCTTTATAATGTTTAATTGTATCGAGCTTGCCTGCTTTACTGTAGGTCTTTCTTGTATTCTTGGTAAACTTCCTCTTATAATAATTATTACTATTATAGTTGTGGCACTAAGAATCTTAAAACTTTTGATTAATCCCTTTATTAAGACAAAAGCAACTACTAAGAGATATGGAGAAAAATCTTACGCAGTAATTACTGGAGGAGCAAATGGAATCGGAGAAGCCATGGCTAGAGAACTCGCCAATAGAAATTTCAACTTGGTTTTAATTGATCTCGACTAAAAGAGACTAGTAGAGGTGAGTAAGAGTATTTAAGAAAAAAACAAAGTAGCAGTCCTAACTATAGTCTATGACTTCGGCAAAGAAACCACTCCTACATCATTTGAAAAACTAACCCAAAAATTTAGCGATCTAGATGTATCAATATTGATAAATAACGTCGGAGTATGCAATCCAGCCAACTTATTTGCTGAAATTGAGACTAAAAGAGCTTGCTTAGAGCTGCTTGTAAATTGCTATCCAGTTGTAATGCTCTCAAAATTCATGATTGAAAGACTTAGGTAGAGATATCAGCAAAACAAAAAGCGCTCCTTAATTATGAATGTAGCATCGACCTGTGGGATAATGTACTAACCTTATTGTGCTAATTATTGTGGAACTAAGGTTTTTACCAAAAGATTCTCTCAGTCATTATATTACGAACTTAATGATGGGATATCAGGTATTGATGTTGTGACCCTTGCTCCTTCTTCCGTTTCAACTAACCTGAGTAAACTTTAGGAGGGTTTTGCAGTAATTTCACCTCAAATGTGTGCAATTGGAGCTTTAAATAACATAACTGCTTTTGAATAAAATGGAGGTTGGTAGCATGAAATTCTTGCATTTTTCATCAGATTGTGGTTAGTAGATTTCTTACCCAGATAAATAGCCGGAAGTATTACACTCAAATTAGGGTAAATACTTCGAATTGTGCAATAAAAAGCAAAATGAAAGTGCAATAATTTTAATCAAACTATGTGAATATAATGCAACTAATACTTATGTAATCATCATAATTTTTACTGTGTATTTTGGTATTTGGGGTTTTGGGGTTTTGGGG